TTAATTACTTATGTCATTGATTTGAATCAATAAATTAATTACTTTTATTTAAAATGAACTTTGTTTGTAAATAACATATTTATAAAAAATTAGAAATAAAATATTATATATCAATAAAAGTTTAAGAATTAAGATTAATATAAACATTTGCATTGTTTATAAAATTCTCATGCAATAAATTATATCTTTTAATTAATATCTATTCAAAATACCTTATATGTAAATTATCCATTTTACATATTTCTTTTTAAATCATACTTCTTTGCAAATTCTTTATATTTATATTTACATGTTACACTATAAATATAAAAAAAAATATTCAAACCTTACTTCTTAATTTTTAGCAACTTGAAACTTAAGAAAATAAAGATAAATAAAGAAAAATAAAGAAGCTATCGTTGCAATATTCAGCTTTATCGACGGAATCTCCCAAGTACACGATACAAAATTCACTTTCGATTGCATTATTCCTTAAGGTGTCGCTTTGAAGCATGAAGTCGAATAACAAATATCGAAACATCTGTATCGATCTGTACCAGTAGCAGAAATCGATGCATCTTTTCGCGGTCAGATGAAAATAATTCGAGTGCTACCAGCGAATATCGAAAGCGAGGCATCAACTCGCCATGGACATCGCGTGATCTGTACGAAGATGAAAAAGAGAAGCAGAAAAGACTCATGGCAGGCCGATCGCATTATTCAGATTAGGGCATCGACTGAGCCACGCGAGTATGCGAGTACACGCGTTTCTTTGTATGCGTATGCACGTGTACGTACTTATATCGGTAGAAGATAATACGGCCGATCGTGCACCGCAGAAGAATGTTAATGGTGCTTCAGTTTTGTATGCAGGAAGTGACGGCGCGTCCCGTCTCATACCGTAGCGGGTCCCGGCGCCCCAGCGTCCGAGCAGAAAAAGGCACAATAAGACCGATAGAACTGAAAAACCAAGAGATTCACGTTGCCGTGTTGGAGGAAGGAAAGAGAGATGCTTCTTTAAATCCCATCATAAAGACACATAGCCAGAGGCTCTCAACATTCTTCAAAAATGACGTTTTTTTCATATTTTTCAATTTTATGTTTGGTAAAGTTGAGATTTTTTTTCTAAAAATATTATAATATATAATATTATATATATATATATATATATTATTAATAAAATTATATAAATATATATAAATTGATAAATGTGTTGATAAATTGATATATATATATATATATATATATATATATATTTATATTAGTATATGATGAATTTTATCAATTGTAATTATGATTATTTTTTTTTATCAATTATAATTTGAACATTAAAGATTAAATAGTAAAATATGTAAATAGTAACAGAAATAATTTATGATCATTTGATTACGTAATATATTTAATTATATTAGTATATATTTAAGATCATTAGTATTAATGATATCATTATTATTAATGTTATTGCATTTCTGTATGAAAATATGATATATATTTAAAGAATGAAGACTACTGTATCAATGCAGCGTTAGAAAAACTAAGGCTTACGTCTTGGCCCTATGGAACAAGAAATAAGAGGCGCCAGCCAAAGTTACAGCTTCGTAATGATATAGCTATCTTGATTTAACATACCTCACAATCTTGTCCGTTAGTACACGCTTAACTTGCTTTACTAGTACGAGCTTTGCCGTTCTTGGCATAGCTTAGCCCATCTATATTTCCTTTACTGCTAATAATAATGATAGGATGAGAAGGAGAAGAAAAAACGAAAAAGACCATTGACTGAATGAAAAGAAATATGGATGAATGGAAATAAAAGAAGGAAATAGATGAAACAGGTATCTTTCAACAATTCTTAAGCATTATCTACATAAAATCAAAATAAAATAAATTATTCACCACACCTAATATTTAAAACAAATAAAATAATACTACGTATCAAGATCTATTGTTCTTAGATAAACATATACCTATGTCATTACCACTCGATATAAACGATTATCAATTACTGAAATACCTGCTCGATTAATAGTTACAGCGATTCATCAATCTTCGACGAAGAAGAACGTATACACACGTATACATGTAAGCACCTATATACATCGTACAAACACAGATGGAACTGGTATGCTCCACATACTGATTTTAAACGAATCTTACGAAGAATTCGAAATGCCAACTTAGCTTTGACTATCTCACACTACCTTAATGCTTTTATATCCTCTAAACTGCTACTGGCTGCTGTCTCCTTTATCATCCTCTTTCTTCCTTTCAGTCGTTCTTCTTTCACGACAAGAAAACGAGGAGTTCGCGTGCGTGTCTTGAAGCTATGCAACGGGGAGAGAGATCCAGGGAAGCTGGTAGAAGAGATAAACCAATACCGAGGCCGGTAGCGGGCAATGCGTGACACGTTGAACCGTATGTATACGTGTGTGTTGGCGCCAGGCCGCATTCTCGCATTCGTTAACTAACACATCGTGTTAGTCTCTCCGCAGCTCGTGCCTTGTTTTCCCTTGCCTTCCCCCTACCTCCACCTTCTCGTACTCCACTCCACCCCTTCCTCCTCTAACCCTTTCGATATTAAGAGCGGTCACGGATCCCAAATTTGCCATCCGTGGGGAGGCGGGACACCGATTTGTCCTCGTCCCGTTTGTACGCTACCGGTACGTGGTAAGATGACCGGTTTCCACCGGTGTACATCGGCCGCCAATCGTGTTTTGGAATAAAGTGGTTCTCCAGAGGAGACTATATCCGTGTCCAGTTATCGAAATTTATTGTCTCGACGATTATCAATCGCGATATCATTTCATCCTTGAAACCCGATGACGCATGTTTGTCAACTACGAAGACTAGTTATAAAACAAGAACTGTCTTTCAGTTCTTCATCATATATATATATATATATTTTATGCATAACTTCTTCTTCGAGTATTTTCTCGTTTATCTTTGTGGTCAAGGCAAGTTCCATATGTGGAATATATATATATATATATAATGTGTTTGACAGATAGAGCACGACATATTCATGGAACATGTTAATGATGCAAGTGAAGCGAAAAATAGGCCCAGAAGTTTCTTTCTTCTCTCATCGAGGAAAACCGCGATGATACATCGTGTCAATGGAATTCATAGAAACCGGTCGGTGAAAATACGAGAGGCACGCGGGCTGTCAGATATTTACTGTTGCTTCAATGATCCACGAAGAGATGTCTGATCGTTGAGGTCGGTAATTAATCCGTATTGGTTTACAATGAAAGAAAGATAGCATTGAAAGATCATTTATAATCACTACTATTTGTAATTCGATAAACGAACGAAGTATGAATTTCAAATCGAGAGATTTTTTTCTCATTTATTAAAAAAAGTGTTTTAATTATTTTAATATAAGGATTATTTAATTAACAATGGGATTAAAATATTGTATAATTTAACAAATTAGGGAAGCAAAAAAATAATAAAAAGAATAATTATCGCCTAACATTAGCAATACTTATTGTAACTGAGATAATTGCAGGATCGTGAACTGTGTTAAAATATCATGTAAAAGACAAGACACGTGTACCAACTTGACACATACTTTGATAGTCGTGTCAGTCCTTGCTAACTTTTTAACATTTACAAAGATTAGTAGCTCAACAGCAAAAACGATAACGGCGAGGATGACGAAAACGAGAAAAAGGAAACCGAGAACTTGAACGGATTAACATTCCAGTAGCGTTCCTAACTGCTTCGAAATTCATCGCGACAACGCAAGCGATAACATCTATAAGGGGATCAAGAGGACTTTTTTAACAGCTCGCGAAATTGAGTGTGTCAACAAAAATGATACGAGGTATGACAATAAGATAATGATGTGAAACGATGAGAATTAATTTTACACAATTATATTATATTTCAGATGCATTTTTTATTTATGATTTATTCATGGAAGATAATAAAGAAGAAAATGATGAAAAATGTATGTTACAATCTGAATCAACTTTTCAGAATACTTTCCTATTACTTTATTTATTTTCAAATTAATCGTGACAAGTAAAATGATTACTACAAGGGTATAGGTTTCATTGAGACCACCAGTAGATGATATATCGATTAACGATTTTCATATTTCAAACTTCAACACAACAACAGAGCGATAATAATAACAAGAAGAAGAAGAAGAAGAAAAAAAAAAAAGAGAGCGATGAAAATGTACAAGTTTCACCGAACCAACATTCCAAGAGCGTTCTTGGCAGTTCACCTACCTCAAAATCCATCCTCCCTCTCTTCTTCTGGGATACCTATGGCGCTTAGCCATGCTTTCTAAAATGCGATTCGAAGGAAAGGGTGATACCGATCTCGTTGCATTGACAAATTTGTTAGTAAAAGAAAAAAAATAAATAAATAAAAATAGAACATATTCATTTAATGATAAAGAAGTTATCCTGCATATCGTATTAATGCATCATGCAATTAAACACATCTTGCTTACATGTAATTTTAATAAGTACGTCGCGTATAAATTTGCATATGCACACAGAGTGTAATAAGCACCTGGTATTAATGTTATCGCGTACGAAGTAGTCGGGATTAAAAAACGTCTACTATCAGATGAGAAAATGACCGGTGTTATGGACCAAAGAAAGATAAAAAAAAAAAAAAAAAAAAACTTGAAAATATGTAATTCGAATAACGATAACGCGTTTACATCGTTCAAAATATCAATAGTTTCATAGTATCAATTGTTTATTAGGTCCGACTGTCGATCGTACGTATCATTTACTAGCTACTAAGATAGAGGAAGAAAGACTACAAGGAAGAGAGAGGGTAAGATATCAACGAGCAGAAGACAAGGAGAGAGGGAGAGAAAGAGTGAAAAGAAAGATAGGGATCCACGAGCGAATTATCTGGTATTTTCTTTCAGCCTACGAACCCTGAAGCGGCTAAGCAAAGGTCAAAAGTTGAGCAATGCTCTTCTTATCGGTGCAAACACGCCTTTGCATATGCAGTGCGCCAGCATTGAGAGATTGACGATGCTTCTTGCCGTCTCGCTTAGTGAGAAACGTGCAGTGGATCTTCTTTAAAAGGAAAGGAAATCGATATTCGTGAATCATGGGACGAGTCAAAAGAAGCTTTCTATTATCTATATTGTTAAATATCTATCATAATCGAGAGGACTTACGAGGATATCGTCTATTCTCTAGGCTTACACCCGATAGAAGTTGTAGGACGAAACTGAGGAAGTGTACGTTTCACGTGTGGAGACTTCCGGTTGCCGATCCAAGCGACCGGAAACACAAGCGACAAATAGATCAACGGTAAGCAATAAAAAGACAGAAACGAAGGGAAAACGAAAGAAGAAGGCAAAAGAAGAGGGAATCCACTTGGTGTACGCACATAATGTACGAGTCCTGAGAGGAGTTGGAGTCCCTCCCGGAGGCGCGGCGCCGCGCCGCGCCACGGCACGACGTTGTGACTATAAGTAAGTCTCGCGCGGCGCGCCGCGGCTTAATGCCGTTGCCGCGTTCGTGGCGCCAAGAGGAGGGCCCATTGGCGACGATAAGCCTCCTTCGTGTCCGGCACGAACGAGAAAAAGAAAGAGAGAAAAACGGAGATAGATACACAGCAGCCAGCTTTCACCCGCGTTTCAGCAGTGAATATATATACCCCGTCGGGGTGTGGATCGCGACAGTGTAGATAATACGTAGCTGTCAGTCGTATCCGGCCAGTGTCAGTCTAGAGTTGGTATCTATCGGTGAACAAGAGAGTGACCAAGTGTCGTTTGTGAGCCATTTAACAACATTTAATAACCTGGGAAACAAAAAAAAAAAAAAGAAACAACCCTTATTTGTTATCGAATGATCGGTTACCGTTGACTTTTCTTTTCTGATCCGTTTATTCCGATCCACCAATGATTTCTCCAAAATTTAATCCAATTTTGAATTCCAAGTTTGAATGAAACTGATATAGATTCCTTTCGTCTGTCGCTTTTATTTTATAAGTGAACAACGCTCTTTATTTATTTATCTAGTGATTATAAAATTATCTTAATATTGTGTCGTGTAACTTGGATATTGTATTATATCAATAATAAGAGTGTGAGTGTGGAATATATAGGGTAGTGACAGAGAGAGGTATACAGACACAGGTGGGCAAGGATCGGTAGAAGGTGGTTGGTATCAAGGGGGTGCGCATGGTCCCTGCGGAGCGGGGAAGGATCACCTCTGTCGACGAGCGCGGACCTTTCTACTGGCCCGTTTGGATGGTGATCAGCGTGGCCGTGTTTTGACACTCGAACCACCATGTCAGGGCTGCTTTACACGCTTTTAGGGTTGGCGGCTAGCACGAGCCTCCATTGTGCCGTTCGCCGCGAGATAAGCCCGTGCACCTGCCGACAGGAAGAGTTCTCCAGTTCCGTTATCAACCCGGGCCAGTCTGCCGCTGCTGCAGCGGCTGCCGCGGTCGCTACTGCAACCGCTAACAACGCCGGCCACCATGGAGGCCATGGAGAACGGATCGAGGTCGTGTGCGAGAAAATGGACTCTTTCGAGCAAGTGGCAGGGGCGTTAAGGGGCAAATTCACCGCTGAACAACAGATTACCTTACGTGTCGCGCATTCGAATCTCAGGGATATATCGCGGCACGATTTTAAAGAGCTGCGGATGTCCATCACGAAACTCGAGTTGAATCACGATCGACTAGGGTGAGTGTGTAAGTTTACCTGCATCAAACGGGAGCTATTGTATCTATCAGTTGTAGAATAGAACGCGTGAAAATTTTTCTGAAGGGACAAATCGTTGTTTCGTTGCGTGTTCCTCGTGTGTCTGTGTATTTCTTTCTAATTACTCTAATCGCTTTTTTTTTTTTTTTTTTTTTTCTTATCCCGATATTGTGAAATTTTTTTTTCACTTCGTTTTATCATTCAGGAATTTGAATGTTTTTCCTTTCAGAAGCACGTTGTATGAGTTATAGTTTGCTCAAACAAGTATAACGAATGCGATAGTATGAATTCGTTTTCGCTCATTGAGCGACCTCGCGGTTTCAAGGTATCTTCCTCAATGTGTGAAAGACGTAAAATCATGGAAATTCCTCGTGCTCTTCCATTGTGGATGTGAAGAAAATCGTGTGACGCCGATAATGACCCGTGGATAAATGATATCAGGCCACGTTTACGTCTAACAACGCGTTTGCAGTGATCGAGCAATGATCACGTTCTTAGAAGTTCTATTTATTCGTTTATTATTATTATTATTATTATTCTTTTTTTTTTTATCCAATTTATCTGCGCAGTTCATTCCTCGTGAGAATAATTTTAGGTGAAAATTCAATTCTCGAGATGAATCCGTTGTAAAAATTTCGGATAATGTATGTGGATTAAAAATATCACGATGTTTTATTACAATTATCAATAAGAAATTTTATTTTATAAAATTTATTAATCGAAAAATTTTAAATTTTATTATAGTATATTATTGACTTCACGCATCCATGTTTAACGTGTCGTCTGACCACATCCCGCTTGTCTGACCATAAAGTTCCTTAATCACTTACGAAATGTCGTCACAACTTTCGTAAAGTATAAAGTATAAGCGAATTGTAAGCGTGAAAAGAAAGAAATTCAAGGAACGTGTGTATAGAAAGGATAACAGAAAATTTATGACATGTATTTGTAATTCGAAACTCATAAAAAAACACGTTTACAAATGTATCGTATACATTATCGATACAAGCAACAATCTGTTCACAAAAGGTCACCATTTGATGTTGCGAATAAAGACATTTATAAGGCAACAAAGAAACGATTCTAGATTCTGATAAAATTATACATGAAAAATTTTTCACAATTAAATTTAATGGAAAAATTCTATTCAAATCATTCGAGAAATGAAATGTAAAATATTTCATAAAATTATGATGCGCGTTTTGCAATTATAAATAACCGCAAAATGGCCTTCAATTTACAATACATTAATTCTAATGCACGTGTTGTATACGTTGAGTATAATTACTATAATCTTTGTCCTCATTTATCTTTGAAAGATATTGTTTGCTTATACATTATATTTTATATTCTGTTCAGATAAAATATTAAATAATACGTCGATAATTAGGCGGAGAAATAAATGTTTCAATATCCAAAAAATTCTCACATTATGTCGAATTAATGTTAATAATAATGTAAATTTTATTGAGATTCGAGAAACAATGGAACAAAGATATTATAAAGGTAATATTCATGTCTTTGTTACGAGTCCTTGAAAAAATAATTGCTTTACAGAAAAAAAATAATGTATTTATATACATCATATAGTCGATGAGAGATTTCATCGATCGTTAATTATCGTCAATTTATCGATTGAAGAATGAATGTATGAAAAAATCGCGAGAATTTCTTTGTTTCTAATTAATATGCAAATATCGTCCTTTTGTCTCTTCAAATGGGCATAATGAACGAGCACTGGTCTTCCTTGATTGTCCTGATACTTGGTCAGATGAGAAAAAAACGAAAGTTCACGTCGGACGAACAATCATCAATCGTCGTCGTTCCTCGCGAAAGATAGAAAAAGAGGCAGAGCTATGGGCGCGAGAATGAAATCTTAATCGTGCCTGACCTCTTCGAATGAGTTATCAAGAAGAAGAAGCCCTGCGCTTATCGTCTTGGAATAATTAAATAACGAAATGCTGTGAGCCAACATTATGTGAATAATTGAACGATAATGACCGTGTCTCATCTTTTTACAGTTAAATTTTTCACTGGTCCATTCGTTTTGAACTTGCATGTCTTGATAAAGATTTTATACAATTCTAGAAGTGTGATTGTGTGACAATTTCAATTATTTAAAAAAAAAAAAAGAAATTTTTAAAAATAGAAACGTTAGGTTAAATATTTCTTTTTTGTTTTTTCAATTAAATTTTTATATTTAATTACTATTTAATGATGAATTCAATGAATTATTTATTCTTTCTAGGAATAGATGCTTTATTTTTTGAAATATGAAATATGAGATATGACATGCAATAGATATATTGTAAGCCAAATATTTTTATAAAAGTTTCGTACGTTATTTTTTTTTATAATTGTAATAATTTTAATGAAAAAAAATATATATATATATATGTATATATAATGAAAATAATATATATTGTATAAAAGTTGTATCGTATGAGGAAAGATATGAGCTTTCTAGAACAACTAAAAAAATTATATTTTATCGGAGGGGTCTTTACAACTTAATGATTCATGATGGAAATTTGTCGAAATACAAATGATTAAACGCTTTGATAATCGTTCTTATATCTTGTATTTAGTATAACAATCCTTTTCCTTAATTCGAGTATCAAGGAAAAATATAAGCCCATTTTGTTGATCCGTGACTAGGACAATAAGCGATAACTTCGCTTCACTTTAGATAATTGAGGATTGATTGTATATCGCTTGTTAGTTATGTGTTTTCAAGGGCCATATGTTGTTCGCTTTTCTGTTCGCCTGTACGTAAGATGATAACGCTTTATCGACAAATGATATTCCAAATTTCTCGGGGACAAGAAAATTTTTATTCTTTCGTTTCCAACGATCTTAATTATCTCAAGATATTAATCTTAAAACGAAGTTATTTTGATAAAGTATATTTCTACGCCATTCAAGAAAATAACTCATATTTTACAAATAATAAGGAATCTGCATTATTAATTCTTGCGAATAAATTTATTATTCCTTCGATCAATGAAATTTCTCATTCGATTATGATAAACGTTTCGCTCAATTGAATTGCAGTGCAATGCGTATGCCTTGTAAATATCTGAATTATTATTTCCCGATGATGTATGATTTTGATGCGAAAATAACGATCTTGAGCATAATAAGAAGTTTATTTATAATAGATCTATGCACGATAGAATTAAAGAAACTTCATGTTTTGTAGGTTCGTAGATGGTGAAGTTTTTGCGGGGTTGGGAAGAACGCAATATCTTAGTCTCGCGGATAACGAAGTACCGTCGATACCAAGACATATTCTGTCTCATCTATCTTTACTGAGGACCCTAGATCTCAGCAGAAATCGGATAAATCGTATAGACTCGGATGACTTTAAGGTATGCATGAGTATTCATAAGAACATTTCATCACTGCCTTTATTAGTTTTCTTCCTCGCGAGTTGAATATATAAATGCATCGAGACACGTGTTCAGGAATCGAAGTTTTCTTGTGCACTTCTAGACGCATAAGAACTTTGAATCACATATATCATTAGTATTTATCAATCATTTATGCGCAAATATTAAACACGTGGTTGAGATTCCCTGACGCATTGATCACGGTTCGCAAATACCGGTTGTTTCAATTATCTGAATTATTTTCTCTCGATATCTTATATAAAATGTTTATAGGAAAATATGAATGGAGAAGGTAAATGGAAAAATATCATCACCCGGTAGTGATAACATCAAAACAGTTTATAAACAGGAAGAAAATAAATTATAAATACGTCATAATATGTGATCAATATATAAGAGTTGACATAACCTTTTTTGACCGTTTCAATATTTCTGCAAAGATATGCATTTATCGAGCCGATTAAGTCTGATCTGATTCGCACCGAATGATCGAGCGAACATTCATCATTCAGCGATTCCTGTTCACGAGGAAAATTTCTTGTATATTATTATTATTTTTAATACGATATAAAGAGATACGGAAGAGATATTAAATAAATAAATTATAAATTATGTAAAAATAGTTTCAGATCGGCACGTTGAACATTTACGTGATGTTATACGAGAATCATCCGATCGAAAATGTATTTTTCATTTCTATTCGTTTATTTTTCTTTTTTACTTTTTTTTTTACTTTTTTTCATTGTTTAACAAAATCAATAAGATAGAAGGATAAGATTCTTTTAAATACGTTTTGCACACTATGCGTGATTTCATGATATATTTGTAACCTGCGTATGAACGAAATCATCAATTCATCTCGAAGAGAGGAAGACAGCTAGTAGAGCTTGGTGGGGTTTCCCTGGCGCTTGTCGCGCACGTGACTGGCCACGTGCACAGAATTGTCCGTCAATCGTTCCCCAGACGAATCGTACTACTTATGAGAATTTTTTTTTACGGTTGCCTCGTGTGATTATCACACGTTTCATGAAACAAAAAAAAAAAAAAAAAAAAATAAAAAAATAGAAATGTGAAAAACTTGTATGCAAACTTTTTTTCAAACTTATTTTTTTTTTTAGACTAACTATTTTTCAATTTTGAGAAGATAGAAGAATAATTTCAAACATTGCTATTTAAAAGGCTGTGTTTTATATATATGTATATATATTCTATATGACACGTTTGCCCATAAAGTTAAATTTATTATTATTCGTATTTTTATGTAAAAAAATAAAAAATTCGTAATATTCATACGATTCTAAACTAACCGAGACACGCTAAATTCATGCTTATTCATGCACTTTATAGTAAATTAAATATCTCTGAATATTCTATTAAATATATGTAAATAAGAGAAAAACAGATAAATTTGATTGTAACAATACCGCCTATGTGATGAATTATCAGAGAAAAATGTTTATCGCGTGACAGTTGTAAACAGCTGTTGATTCGAATTGATTGATCGGTTTCAATAAATGCGAACAACAACATTTTAAACTCTTCCGTTGCATCATGAACTTTCAGTACAGTTTAAAAAATTTTCGCTATATATATAACAATGTTGCTTCAGTAAGTCGTTAATATTTATCATATAACGCCATTCTTGATTAAACGTCGCACATCCTCGTATTTAATCGCGTTTGTCGATACTGCTAAATATTATCTGTCTAAATCATCTTTCATCTCTTCCTTTCCTTCTTGCTTCTCTCTCTCTCTCTCTCTCTCTCTCTCTCTCTCTCTCTCTCTCTCTTGCTATCTCTCTTTTGCTCGTTCGCTCACTCGCTCGTTCGCTCGTTCTCACGCACTGTTTTTATATAAACCAAGCGATAAATTTATTTTATACGAAATAATATATACGAATAAAAAAAAATCTATATAATTAAATCCTTCTAATATGTGTATTTTCAAAATGCATTTTTTTTACCTATGATTTTCAGTACAATCCGACATTACAACATCTTCTTCTGGCCGGAAATGCAATTTCAGAAATGGTGCCAGGCTCGTTACCACCGTTAGTGAAGCACTTACACGTTGGCCGCAATCATTTACAAAGCCTGAATCGAACCTTACGGTACGACACTTTCTTGATTACCGAAAATTTACGTCCATTCACGAACCTCCTAGAATGTATCGGACATCCTGTTTACAATTCCGACAGTGGCTCTTAATTGGCTCTATTCATCGTTGATGCAAAGAACCAAGCTCCTTGGACTCGGCCGAATGATTAAGCAAACGTGCACGCGTATTATATGCAAAGGAGAGAACAATTAAGCTTGCGATCTAGTCACATATTTGAGATTATATACAATTTTTAAGAATCATTTTCTTTTTTTTTCTCTCTCCACTTTTTCTTCTTCTTCTTCTTTTTTTAATAGAGAAAGAAAAATAATAATTAATAAGAAAATAAATAATAGAAGGAAAATTAAGAAATATTCATTTTGTTCATTTGATGAAAGCAAGTAATGATTTGTTTTTTTTTTTTTTTTGGAGCGAATTTTATCGGAACGTGAGGTTCGCCATGCACGTGGCTTAATCTTGTTTCAGAGATTTGAATCAGTTGGAGTGGTTGCTAATTAACGCCAACGAGCTCTCGTCTCTGGATGGCGAGCTACCGTCTTCTGGCCATAATCTGAAGATGCTCTACGCCGTGGACAATAAATTAACTCACTTGCCGGTGGAATTTCGTTACCTGCATCGTTTGGAAAGTTTGTATCTTCAACACAATAAGATTCGCAGTTTGGATGGTACGCTACAAAAGGCACGTCGATTGAAATTTCTCGAACTTTCGCACAACGATCTGCAAGAGGTAATTAATCATGATCAATAATATAGATAAATAAAATATTAATTCCCTTATAGTTTATTTTTATAATATATTAGAACAAATAATTATAATTTATATACTTTAAATATTTTTTTCTCAAAAATATGAAAAATATATTATTCTGTTTAAAACATTATTTGAAAAATATCGTAAAATAGTTTATGTTATGTTAGTTTATTAAACTATAATTTAATTTAATAAATATCATCATCACAAGTATGATGTTTATATCGAAGCAATAGTGGTTTATAAAACATGTAGATATCCATATGAAGTGCAAGTGCACGATCGCGATGTATGATAACGCGTGGAGGCGTTCGTTCAATGTTCCGTGCATTAAGTCAATTACTACATCCTAATGTAATTATTATGTCGTGCGCTTCCGTTTCGCGGATTAAATTTTTATTGCAATGGACGGCTGGTATTCGATGGTCTTCTTTGTAATTCGACATTTGATAAGCATTTTCGATCGTCTAGAAAGATTTCACATTTAATAAATTAATATAATTTTCTTTCTAATAATAATTCTAAACAAATTTCTAATTCTAAATATTGATATAATTTTTTAACGAATATATTATTTTACTTCCAAAGTAAAATATATATTTAAAAATAAAATTTGAATTTAAATGAGAAAAATATGCAAATAGATATAAAATATATAATAATGTATATGGTAATAAGATAATAAATAGAAAACAAGAAATATTATTAAAGATAATATTATAAATAAAATATTTTTTCTCAGTTAACGGAAGAGGATTTCATAGAAGCTGAAATGTTAGAGGACTTAGAGCTTGGGCACAATTCTCTAAAATCGTTGGATAGCGCGGGTGATAATGGCGACGGAAATGGGGGCAACAGTGTCCTTTACCCTCTTAGATCGCTCAAGTGTTTAAATTTGACGCACAACGAGCTTCGTGAATTTTCATTCACGTCACTTCGTGGTCTGCGCGAGTTACGAATGCTTGATCTCTCGAACAACAGAATCGCGCGGCTCCATAGAGGAAGAACGCCATCAGAGGTACTTTGATAAATATACTTTTAAATTTATATAGAGGAACATTCGATAATTTTTATTTGTAATATGATTATTCTCTTGTAATATGGTTATTACTCTAAAAAATAGAATTAAAATTGAACTTTGAAAAATTAATATTCATTATCGACACTTCTTGCTTACCAATATATTTATGAATATATGTTGAGCTATTTAAATATTTCGTTGTAAGTTAGATAATATAAAAATATTTTATTTTCTTCAAACGTATGTGGATGAATTTAATAGAATAATATTTCTTCAAATGAATCAAATATTCGTATTGCAAATAAAAAATATTATTACTTATTATTTTTAAGACAAATCGAATATCTGTAAAAAAATATATTTTAATATACTTCGTTAAAAATTTTAATCAAATATAAAGAATTATATAAAAAAATATATAACTTTATATCCTCGTTGATTTATTTTTACAGAATTTAGTGGAAGAGGAAGGAGATGAAACGGCAGGCGGAAATATTCAAGATATGCGACTTCAGCATAACGAGCTACGAAGCTTGGATGGTTCCTTGTTTCTTGGAATGAAGGAATTGCAGAGGTTGAATCTAAGTCATAATGCTTTAGGACCAACAATTGGTCAACGCGATCTACGAGGTCTTGATGGTCTAAAAGTACTCGATCTTTCTCATAATGAGCTTACCACTCTTGAAGATACATCAGAGGTACAATAATATGCATGAAATTAATTCACACACGTGTTTTTATCAAATGATTGTATAGTTTCATTAGAATATTTGATTTATTCAGATATATGAACATATATTGAAATGTTAAAAAATTAAATTTTTCCTACAAATCAATGATTAATTAAAAAAGCATGTAATATACATAAATCTCAAAATAGATGTGTAATAATATCTTTTTTGAAAAAGTTTCCTTATTACCATATTTATAATCATGATATTTCTGTATAGACGTGGCTCCCTTCTCTAGAAGAACTGAATGCATCACATAATCGTTTAGTAACGTTATCCGAAAGAGACTTTCGTGGATTTCCCGTTCTCTGCTGGGCAGACGTGAGCGCGAATCGGATACGTATTCTGATGCCGGAACTCGTGGCAAATACACGGTGTACTGTTCACGGAGTGCCAGATGTGCTTCGTATATATCTGCAAGGTAAGTTCAAATTATCAGTATTATTATTATTATCAGTATTATCAGTATTATTATAATATATTATCTATATGGTAAAATATATGAATATTATTCTATTAATGAAACTTAAATAAATTTGTTTAGCCTTAATTTTATCTTTTTTTTTACACATTTTAGATATTTAAAATAAAATAAATTATTAGAGGTGATATATAAAACTCGCGAATTCATAAAATTCAAATAAAGAGAATTATTTGATTATTTATTATTAATTAATTATTTCTTATATCATTTCATTGATAAAATAATTAATATAACAATATTTAAATTTTAGATTTAAATTTTATTTAAAATAAATAAATATAATATATAAAATAAGTAAATTATTTTTTTAAATAAAAAAATCTCATTATTTTTAAAATGCTTATTTGTAAATTGATAATAACATGTACAAAAAGAAAAAAAAGAGAATAAAAATAAAAAAACTTTTTTTATAAATAAGAAAAATATATATACTTTTTTTTTTTATAAATATCTATTGAATTTGGAATAAATTTTTCTTTCAATAAATAAATATCTGCAATATAGTTTGAGAAATTTTATTATATTATTAAAATATTAAATTTTTCTTTAATTTCGAGATTGTTTTTGAATTTCAATTTGACAAGTGAATATCTTCCAATTAAATTATTGCAATTAGACATTATTTTATGTTTATAATATATTATAATTTAATAAATTTAATTTTAATTTACTTTTAATACAAAAGCTGCTAACCTATTTCCTCAATTATATTTAACATTTGCAATTGATTTAATAGAAAGTTAATGCTTCGTTTAATAAATAAATATTGATAGATTATAATCAGGAATTTTTTAAATTGCGCAATAAAAAACGATAAACACAGGTGTACATGACTTCATATATTTAGAAATATCATTTTGTTAAATAATTTTTATTCTTTGTTTGTTCTTATTTTTCATAAAACATGGAAATTTTAATTTCTAGTAAATTATAGATTATATTAAACAAAATTAACAATTTTTCGACTAATTCCAATTCTTAAAATTGAATGATATTAAGTTGAATATAATATTAAATAATTCTGTTAACAAAGCTGACACAATCGATAGAAATTTAAAAAACACGATATAAAGAATAAATAATAAAAAATAATACAGAATAATTTTAATGTTGATGTGCTATAAGATCGAAAGAGAAAACAAGCAATGCTTATAATATTCTTAATAACGTATTATGCGCAAATACGCGTAATCGTCTGGTTCGTACAACGTCGAGTCATCCGATCGTACGATATGAACGGTCATTCGATTTCGTTTTCCACCCTCACAAAAGGATAACGTCTTTGTGGAACGCAGACGCGTTGAATGGGCGCCAGTGCGTAATTAATAAACACATCGTTAAATGTCGCGAGGCCAACCGATGGAAGAAGAAATGAGACAGAATGAGGGAACGGGTCATGAGAGTGGTCGGTGTCGGCAGAAAATAAATTACTGCTTGATAATAACGTGGCTCCATTTGGCTCCCAAGCTGTACATTATTTTGTTATAAGTTACATTTTATAATGATAACCTCCGTCGTGGCGCCATCTCGTATTATTTATTGTATACCAAAGATGGATTGTTAACTGTTATTTATTGTTAAACATATACAAGTTTTCGTGCTACCATTATCATATTCAATTCTGTTATTTCAGTTAACTTCGTTATTTCTCGGATTCTGGTTCACACTTTCATTGAAGTTTTCTTTTTTATAATCTGCAAATGAACGATACGATAATTCTATGTTCCTTTTATTATTATGTTTTCAAATTCACATGATCAAATCATATATATGTATGTTCATGATATTTTTGAAATCCTAAATTCATCATCATGATGCAAATATGCATTTTCTGTATTATGATATATTAAATCTGGAATAATTTTTTCAATAGATCTTAAGGGACTATTATGATGTCATAATTATACGATGATTTTTATTGCTTCAAAAATTCACTCCAGACAGACTCATATCTAGCTTCTTACTTATCTTGTCTTGCTGACGATACATCATAAAAAAAAGAAGAGCTTCCCCTTGCGATATTCCGATGTTTTTTGCTTACAGATAATCCGGTGTTGTGTGATCCTGGACTCGCAGACCTGACCGTGGCTTTCGAAGTTAATCACGCGAAAGTTTATGGTGTTGCTAATAATTGTCCGACTACCGTGGCGACTCCTACCGAACAAACGTCGCCACTTCCGCCATTACCACCGACGCTGTTGTTAGCTGCCGCAGCAGCTGCTTCCGGAGGAAATGTTTCTTTCGCCGCGACACTTGAGTAGTTCATTATAAAATAGAATAAGAATTCTAAGATGTGATCAATCGATAGAGAAAATTTGAATGAAAACGAAGAAAAACGAAGGATCGAGAAGAAGAATTTTTCGATTTACAGTTATTCGTTTGTGTGAAGCTATGCAATATCTACACACGAATAGACACACGTGAGAAACGATAATATTAAAGTTCGTTTTATTGGTATTCATTGTGATAAACTAAGTGTGTGGAAATGGGCGGTGTAAATCTTGGTGTAACCTCGTTCCCCTTCACGTTCGACAGGCGTTTTAGTTCGTTTAATCTAATCCGCTTGCGTGAATTTCTTGGAAGCATGCAAATGAAAAAAAAAACGTTGTATAATAATAATAATAGAATAATACATACATACACGTATATACACAAACAGATATTCATTAACATCATGACATCATAAAAAATTTCATATGCGATTAATCTCATAATCGACAACTGACAATCGTTCGCAATCAGACGTCGGTCTCTAATCGATAGATGTGTTACTACATTTGTTATATGTAGTTATTAAGTAACGAGAAATATATATTTATTTTAGTGAATTTTAATCACATATCATATAGTTCGCACAGAATAATTCCCCATGTGTTCGATATAGAAAAAAAAACATTATATACTCGCTTAAAGAACAACGAGATCATTCTTATCGAGAAACAATTTATTAACGTTTCTATTTTTTAATTATAATTATTAATATGACATTATTACGTTGTAAATATTTATTAATTTCGTTACTTCTTATACATCTTATTAACACTAGAGCTCGACGTTTCTCCGAATGTTTCATTTCGAATTCCAATTTGCATTGTTTAAAAATTTCATCTACTTTTTCATCTTTTAATATGTTAAAATAATTATATATGTATGTAGTAAAAAAAAAAAATAAGTATGTAGTATAAAAAAACTGCGCTATAGAAATGATATAAATAATTAATAAGAGTACTCAAAGCTCTCGAGATCGATTAAGAAATTAATCTTTTAATTGAACTCGAAATCATTATTAATCATCCATACTTCAAAGTATTATCCATAACGCTTATGTGACGTACTATGTATCATGATTTTTCGTGTTGCTTTAGATTATTCATTAATGACGTCGGTTAATATGTCTAATATCTAGTGTACAATTATATTGTGTAAGATAATATATAGAATTTCCAGAATAATATTTGCACATTTATATTATATTATATTATATTATATTATATTATATTATATTATATTAATAATGAATTTTTAAATTAAATATAATAGATAAAAATTTGTGCACAGGTATTAATCGTATCAAAACCGATAGACAACGTGAATACGGCTAGTATATATCATAATATAGTGCATCAATTCCCATCGTCGACGTTTCGATCTTTAATTAAATTCCTGAATGATCGAGTAAATGAACGATCGGGCAGGTCAATAGTGTAAGTGAAATCTGTTAACTTACGTTGTGTATGCGATATGGACTGATTGGCAGTGGGCGATCAATTGACTCTCTCGTTAACTCGTGCCAATAGGGATGAATTGTTATCAACGTGCTGCTACGCATACATAATCAATTGGCCCTTTCCATGTACGAGTAAGACGCGTAAATATTTCGTAATTATGTTAATATACGAATTAATGTAAAATATGATAAGCGAAAGATTCAAATTTTCGCAAGATATTAGACGAACCTGAATAAATAAATTTTCATCATTCAAGATTGTTTAAATAACCAGAACAACAGTGATGTAAATTAATGAATTGACATATATCTAATATTTTCAAATAAAAACAAAAATTTTAAAAATAAAATTTTTAAAATTTTTCTAATATAAATAAAAAATAATATCTTCAAAATTTATCCAGAATGTTACATATTTATTTCATTCATTACCAAAAGTTATTAATATTGATTGTTAATTTTAAAATTGAAACAATTTATCAACAAAATATTTTTTAAATAAAATCAATTTTAAAAAGAAGGAGAAAAAATCAAGTTTAAATCAAATTATTAAGTTAATATTCATAACAATCTAGCAAAATTAACAATTCAGCATTATATGACATTATAGATGCTATGTACACAAATAAAAATTAAATGGAAACTTCTTTGTAATTTTAGAATTTAAATAATTTATCTTCACTGTGATTAGCAATTTACTGTTTTTATAAAAACATAGTATATTAAGACATGATATAATGGCACAATATTCATAATAATATCAGAAATATAACTATTAATAATTGAACATTTTAATAAGATCGTATTAATGTTAAATTTTGTAATATATAGTATTGGAAGTCTTTTATATATAATAAAACTATTCAGATATTAATTCTTGTTGTAAAATTTATTAATTTGTATTAATTTTATTATATTACATAGTTTTATTAAAATAGTGCTATAAAATAGTTAACTACATAAAAAACATTAAAAAATATTAATTATTTAAACAAATATTATTTACTTACTAGTATATCTAAGATTTTAATTTTACTTTACATTTAAATAATATTGAAGAAAAATATGCCTAAGTTTACAAAGAAATGCAATTATATTTGAAATTTCTACTTGCTTAGAAAAATCAATAATTTCTTTAAAATCCGTTAAATGTTCAGTTTTAAGTGTGGGATGAATTTTTTCTACTGAAATATATAAAATTATTTATGTATGTATATTAATTATTAATTATTAATTCATATTATAAATTTATAATTTTTAGAAACAAATATGACATACCTTTCCATTGATCATTATGATTAAGTAATAGTACAAAATATTCGTCTTTTATATCAGTATCATTTATAAAAAAAGATACTTTAATTTCTTCTTGTTCTTGTTCTTTGTTATTGATTAAACGTATTCGGAAATCTAAATATTGTTTATAAGTTTGACAAGCACATTTAATACTTTTCCATTTTAATAACTTTTCTTCTTTTCTTTTCTTTGATTCTAAAATAATATGTCAAAAGTTTATAATATAAAATTATATATATTATATTATATCTAATTATAGAAAATACCTTCATTTAATTCAACAATTTCAATAGATAAACTATTTCTTCTTGATTTTGTTTTTTTAACTTCTTCTTCTAAATTTTCTTGTTCTTCTATTATATTGGCAATTTTTTTATCTACAATTTTTTGTTGTAAATCTGTTGCATCAATTTCAGATTTTAAACTTTCCACTTCTTGTTGTAATTCTGATATTTTATTACCATTTTGTGTTCTTTTCTCAATACATTCTAAAAAAAAAGGAATAGACAAATATTATCAAATTATTGTTTATATATCAGATATAATCAAATTATTTATTTTTAAAAATTTAATAAGAAAAAATAAATCTATGATACATTTTTATATTTATTATATTACAAGCAGATTATATTAAAAAAAAAACATTTTTTTATTACATCTCTAATATGTTTTTTGTATTTTTGTTTTTTATGTGATAAAACGAATCGATTATTATATGTTAATAAATATATGTAATATATTATATAATATATTATAATATATTATATAAATAAGTTTATTAGGAATGTATTTTATATATACATAATATACATATATATATATGTACACACACACACACATATACATACCAATTTTATACGTAGTTGCATCTTCAACTTTAGCGGCTATTTTTGTTTGAATATTAGAATAATATGATTTTAACTTTTGTATTATACTAAAGTCTCTATTCTGAAGAACATGTGCGATATCAATATTAAATTCTTCCATTATTAATATGTGATTTTTATGTCTGTTTTTAACGTATTAAATTAAAATACATTTTAACGTACAATACTTAGCGTAGCCATTTAAGTTTTGAAGTAACAGTGCTACCACTAAACTAGACAAATATTACTAATATTTATAACCTTAAACTTAAAAATTATTCTGAGATATTGTTCATATTTAAATAGTGAAATATTATAAAATTGTCTATTTCAAAATAATTTTATTCAATTTCTAAAATAAAATCTAAGTTTTTAATATATATATGATGAATATATATAATGTATGAATTATGTATATATGATGAATGAATTACATTATATATAATGCGGTAAATTTAAATTTTAAAATCAATTAAATATTAAGAAAAAATACGAAAATATAATTAACTTTTAAAAATATTTTTAATGATAAACATTCTAATATAATATTATTCACTTTTATTTAACCCGTATTTTATATATTTGATTTTTAAATAAAAGGAAGTTAATGAGTTATTTGAATTAGATAAGGCGTATAATTTACCAGTCGTAATAATGAATAAATATTATTCATTATCAAAATCTCTTAATATTTTAATACCATTTACAATGACATTGTTTTTTATTTATACAGATGTCAATCATACCCTTATCATATATATATAAATTGTTATCACATTTGAATCACGGCATACATTTTTCTTACTTCATTTAAAGTTTGAGTACAAGTATAAGCATCAAATATGATGTTTAAATTTTTACCAATTTTCATCATCTTCAGCATTACTGCTGTTTTTGTACGTATAATTTCCTATTTTATAATACTGTTGAAAATATTTCGAAAATAATAAATTACTATATATAATTTTTTCATTATTTATTTTTAATTTAATTGTTTATTTAATATTCCAATAATTTCCATCTTCCAATATATTTTTCATAGATTGTATCATTATTTTAACTAGTAATTTTTATTGTAAAATTCATGGTTTTTTTCTTTTTCAAAAAATATTTTTATATTTAAAAATTATTTTTTATAAAATTTATTAATATAGGCTTTTACGTTTGATGCAAAGGGTCAATTAGAAAATGTTAAGGTACGTATTAATTAATAATTTTTACGATTTTTATATATAATATTTATATATAATATTATTTATATATAATATTATAATAAATTATAATAATTAATAATATTAATAAAAATTTAAATTAATTAATATTATAATTTTATTTTATTTTATTTTATTATCAGATATATTATATTATTATATTAAGTCTATAATAATATAATATATTAAGTCTATAATATTTTGAATAATAAAATTTTATATTAATATTAGCTTTCTCTTTCTTTACATTAATAATATTATATTTTATCAAAATATACTTGTTCATTTTTTACATAGAATTTAATAAGAAATCATATATTAAATAAAGTTTTTTAAATAATTGAATATATTTAGTTTTTTTGATAATAAAATAATATAATAATATAATATATCTGATAATAAAATAAAATAAAATAAAATGAAAAATTTTTAATATGAATTTTAATGCAAAATCTTGTCATAGTCTGATTACAGCTTTCAAGCAAACTCACAGGAAGCTAGCAATGCCAGTAATAGTGACAATGACAGTGATAATAACAATGACAGTAATAATGACAATGATAGTAATAGTGGAAGCAACGAAAATAATGATGACAACCAAAATTTATCTGATCTTAAGAACAAAAATTCTCAGCTTACTGATGATTTGGAAAAACTTATAGAATCTGTAGAGGATATACTTGAAAATGAGCTGAGAGGAGTAACAAACGAATCTATACATATTTGGGAAAGTGTAAAAGACAAACTCATCTCAATCGAAAATAATTCCAAAGCGAATTTTCAAAATGTTACGAGTAATATAGAAAATATCCTGAATAATTTTAACAATAAAACCTACAATGTCTTCGAACGTGTTAGAGATATTGTACAAAACGAGACAGAAGCATCTAAGAAAGAACTTTTGAAAGCTTACAGAAAATTGAAGAAAGATATAGCTAAACTTGAAGAAAATGGAAATAATATCTCGCAAAAAATACGCGAAGAATTTAAAAAATTCTTTGAAGATACTTATGAAAAATTAAAAAATACTACTTATTTTCTGGAAAATGCGATAAATGAAGCTGAAAATAAAGCTAAATATATTTTAAATGAAGTGAAAAATGTTACATTAAGCGAATTACAAAAGATCGAAAAAAAAGGTGAAGAAATATGGCAAGAAGCGAAAAAAGATCTTCAATCAATGGAAAAAAATGCAGAAGATGCTATAAATAAGATAACAGATTCGATGAAAAAATTGAAAAATGAAACCAATGAAGTTCTTCATAAACTTTCAGAAGCGCTGAATGAAAATATAGAAGAAATCAAACAAAATGTTAGCAAAATTGCAAATGAAGTGAAAGAGATTGTAAACAATACAGTATTTGAGATCAAAAAAGCAACAAAAAAATTTCGACAAGAAATTGAAGAAGATGTTGAAGAGATCAAAGAAAAAGTGATTGAAGTCATAAATGATTTAAATGAAAAATTATCTCAAATTGCCAACCAAACTGCTAATATTTTAAAAGAAACTGAAGAAATTCTTGAAGAACAATTTGAACAAGCCAAGCAAAATATTTCTCGATTTGTAGATAAAATAAAAGATGTTGTTTCAAATATTTATCGATCTGTAAAGAGTTCTATATTAGATATTATTGACAATATCAAAAACGATGTTAAAAATATTAAGTCTAAAAATGATGTATTCTTATACAATATAACGCAAACAATCGAAAATAATGTGGAACAAGTAAAACAAGAAATCACGAAAGTCGTAGTTGATCTTAAGAATAAAACTCAAGAACAATTAGAACATCTTAAAAATAAACTCGGTGAATTAAAAGGAGAAACGTCGCAGGCTAAAAAAATTATTAGATATAAAATAAAAGAAATTATAAAAAATGTTACCAATGTGCTTGATAATTTGGAGCATAACATAAACAATACTTTGAGATATGTCCAAAATAAAACTTCTGAGATTATAAATCACGTAATAAATATAATTAAAGAAAAAATACAGGAAATCATACAAAAATCTGCTCAAATTGTAGCAGAAGCGACAAATACAATCGAAGACATTAAAGAAAATACAGCCGTAATTTTGAATAATACTTTGACTGAATTAAGGAAAGATGCCAATAATCTTTTGAACAATGCCAAGGAAGATGTTCATAATATAACTAATCAAGTTGAAAACCAAGTTTTTAATGTTCTCAATAATATTAAAAACGTTACAAAAAATTCATTGAAAGATATTGAAAATATTACGTCTTATGAAAAAAATTTAAAAGAAATAATTCATCATATTTCAAAAGATTCTAGATCTATAATAAATAATGTTTTGAATGATGTTCATGATACTATTCATGTCATTTTTAATGATACTAATGATACTATTGAACATATAATTAATAATGTCAATAATGTTACTTCTAATATTTTTCATAATGTAAAAAATGCCATACAAAATGGAATAAATGATACGAAAAATAATATAAAAAACGTATTTGATGGACTTCAGAATTCTGTTCAGAAGGTTTCCGATGCTGTGCATTATTTCAATGATAATGTAAAAAATATACTTATAGGTAATATAAATATTTTACAATAACTATTAAGCAATAATTATTACATATATTAAATATATATATATTAAATATTAAATAAAATATTAATGAATTCTATAAATAATTTTTGTTATAGGTAATATAAAGAATTTTAGTCATAGCAAGTAAGTTTAATATATATTTTCAAATTTTTCAAATAAAATATACGACATAATATTTATATAATATAAAATTATATATCTTATACTAAAATGTAAAATTCCATTTTTGTTTCATAAATATTGTTTATATTTATGTTTAGTTCCCATTTGGGATTTAAGTAACAAACACAAGCTACAGACTACATCATCTTAAATGGAATCAAAGACAGAAGATTGGAAATTATTAAACAAATAAAATAGTTTTCAAATAAACAGCAGTGAAAAAACAAAATAAGAAATCAACATATTGAAAGTGCATGCTGATTTTGTTTAAGTTAAAAAAGAACATATATGTTATATTAAATATAAATAACTGTTATTTATGATATTAATAAAAATAGTTAAATTAAATATAAATCTAATTTAATAAACTAAATTATTGAAACATTATATTAGATTGTGATTCAGATGATTGTATATCATTCCAACAAGCTATTTCTGCCATTTCCAAATTACCATCTTCTGTTAATGTTAAAATTTGTTTTTCAGAATTGTCTTTAAGTTTTATAGCTAAATCTGTGATACCATCAGAATGTGATGCCATCACTGAGGAATGTGTTGGTGTTTCATTAATTTCAACAGGTTGTAAAATACGTACATATATTGGTTGACCAGTTGCAGAAATATTATCTACAATTAAAAAACATTTTATAATAAAATGTTTTCTAATTAAACATGAACCTTAAATTCTTACCAGAAGTTAAAATATTTTGTATTGATAAATTTTCAGAATTTGATAATCTTATTATAGGAATATTTTCATTACGATTTGAAATTTGTGATTCTGAATATGTTTCAATAGTCATAATTGGTACATTTTGTTGTATACTTTTTTCCAAAATTGGAATATCCAGTATAGTTTCATCAATATCTTTCAAAGATGATTCTGAAAGACATTTAGAATATAATTTATTGATCACAGAAGCAAATCATTATAGAATTATAGAAAAGTAAATATTTTAGAAAACCTGTTTGTTTATCTTGAACTCTAGCCTGATCATTTATATGTTCTTTCACGTTACAATCATGTGATTCTTGTTGACTTTCATAAAATTGTACACCACATTTATCACAAAATATTTTTTGTTTAATGTGATCTCTAATGTGATGGACCATAAATGAATTATGAAGTGTGGTATATTGACATTTATCACATTGCAACCAAATATTACTTTTTTTATGTTTGGGCTTTTCAGTAATATTTGAAGACAAAATAACATCTTTCCTATTTTGATAAGTAGTTACAGTTTGATTGTTACATTTTGTTATCTGTGGTGGTTGAGAACGCTTTTGTTTCTCACTATTACCAAGAAGTTCTCCTTTTTCCAAAGAATATTTTTGCTCCAAAAATCTCAAAACATTATCACGTACATTACACATTTCAACATCAAGTCTATCAAGTGTATTAATAAGATTAGCACAACTTCGACAAATTACATCATCTTCTGATATTACTACCATATATCTATATTTTTATATAAAAAGGATAATTATAATACATTTAATTTGAATACAATGATACTGAAATGTGTATAATGTTCACATAATAACTGCAATAAGATACTACCTTTCACCAACTAATTCTCCAAGTTTTTCTATTACTCTAGTTCTTGATATTTGAGTTCTACATGTAGCCAAAGAATAATGACGTCCTTGAATCTTTGCATCACATACAAAACATTGTAATTCTTCCAAAAGTTTTGAATTATTATAGTCATTACCAGTATCAGAAACAGTTACATTTGTGCAATTGTTACTAATATCTTCAGAACAAATATCATGTCGTTGTCCTATTGACAACATTGAAGTTATATTTGCCATTGGACTAATGACAATAATTTTTTTTAATAGGAATCAAGGTTAGGATACAAAATAGGACATATAAGGTGTATAACTGCAAAAAAATAATACAAAATAAAGAATATATAATTTTGTATTATAAATATTACACTGTACTTTTCTTTCCCATATTTTATAATAATATGATAAGATTAATGTATCAATATAATATAATTTTTTCACAAGATTATTACCACAGTATAAGATCATATAGCTAAAATATATTTTATGCCATCTTGTGAAGATTGATGAAAATAAATACATAAATTATGAATTTATATATATATATGTATGAAATACTCAGAATAATAAATATAAGGTAGTATAACAATAAACTATAGCATTTTCTTGTTTAGGGACCAACATTGCTAGAATTCCCTAAAAAATAGAGAAAAAATAATAAAAACTATTATAAATGAAATATAAGCTAGATCTAACATTTAATGGGATTTTATGTCCTATGTTTTGAAATATCAATTGTGCAAAAAATCAAAGTTAGATATGTCTTCTATGATTTAGAGTAGTTAATACTGAAATTATATTCAATTACATTAAAAGTTGATCAAATATATTAAAAAAATCGATGAAGACATATCTTTCAAAAATAAGTTCATCTATATAAGGATTATTTTAATTTAAATTTCTTATATTTATTTTCATATATTCATCAACATATAGAAAATGAATTTATATAAATATGAAATATATATATATATGACATAAATATATCATTGTATAATAAATATATAAAAATAAATATATATAATATGTAACATATACTTACAATAGTATATATAATATATAAAATTATATCGAAATATTCTATTAAAATTTTTAATTAATAAGTTAGATAAAGGAGATAATAAAATTAATTAGATATCAAAGTCATCACATATAAATTTTATAGAGCAAGTACAGATAAAAAAACAAATAGTAAAAAAAAGAATAGAGATAGAGTAAAAATCATGGAATCAGCATCATAAGAATACATTAATACAACTAATATAGACAAGAAGAAAAATAGAAAAAGAATTGATAATCAGCGCCATCTGTCGTATGCTAAAAATATCTGTTCAAAGAGTAAAATAAAATAAGAATTAGAGATCAATATCATTTCTATAAAGATATTTATAGAAAAATATTTCTATTTATAACATTATATCGCATAACATTATCAGTTTTTAAATTCTCATCAATGATTATAATCTGTTTTTTCACTATTACTGTATTTCATTATATTTTCTAAACATTTTTTCCTTACTTCTGGCAACCCTGCTCATAATCTCTAGAATCTATTATTATTTTAGTGCCATTCTCAATATTAGAGATTCAACATAAAGTAAGACTGTATACAAATAAATTCTTTCGTATATTGTACATATTTAAATAATAAAAAAATAATATTTCAATTATTTTTTATAAAAATAAAAAAATAAAATTATGAAATTTTATTATTTGATATTATTTATTTATTAATAAATAAATATATATTAATGAATTTAAGTTAGAATAATAAATAATAAAAGGAAATTTTTATGATAAAGATAAAATTTATAACATAAATACTATATAAACATAAAAATATATATTTATATATAATTGAATACAACAAATAAATATTATCATGAATAATTTCTGATATTCTAAATGATTAAAATAAAAATTAAAAAAAATTTTGAGTATAATAATTTGTATGTTTTAAAGAAAATAATTTAGTGTAGGATGGGACGTAATAAAGATTCAGAAACAGATAGTGTTTTATCTGAATTTGAAAATGAGGTAAAAAACATTAAAACTACAGAAAGAGAAAAGCCATATAAATGTAGTTTTGTTGGATGCAACTTGGCTTTTTATAGACCATCCAGATTACAAAGGCATATTAGATTTCATACTGGAGAAGTAACATTAATATTTTAAGACTTAATTTTGATTATTTTTGATAATTTAACTTAAATAACTATGATTCATTTATTTTTAGAAAAATTATAAATGTAATTATCCAGGATGTGATAAAGCCTATACTAATAATTGTCATTTAAAACGTCATATGAAGAATCATAGTATAAAAAAAGCATTATATAAGTAAATATATATTTCTTTTTAGTGCTTTATTGTTTTACGAATTTTTATGTTTTATGAATTTTTAATATATTATTACACTTTTTATTTAAGGTGTCCAGAATGCTCATTATATATTAGTAATCGAGATAATTTGAAACGTCATTATAAGAGAATTCATGACAGATTGACTTGTAAAAAATGTAATGAAACTTTTATAAAAAAATATCAATTAAAGATACATATGACAACACAACATTTAGTTTCATATAAGTGCAATGAATGTAATAAAAATTTTACAAATTTAACAAAATTTAAAAGACATGAATCAAGTCATAAGAAAAGTGATAAACAATATTCATGCAATATGCCTGAATGTAATGAAGTTTTTAAAAAATGGTTACTTCTTTGTGCTCATATAAAAACTCAGCATGTACGTGGTAAGTATTTATTATTATATTTTTTATACATAATTTAATTTAAAAAAAATATTTAATTGTAATATAATATATTTTTTAAAAATATATTTGTTTAGATCACAAATGCAAGGATTGTGATAAAATATTTTTGACCAAACGACATTTAAAAATTCATTCAAAAGTTCATATGGAAAATAGATCTGTTTTATCTTGTCCATACGAAAAATGTCCGCGAGTTTATTATTTTAATTGGAATTTAAAACAACACATACGAACTTATCATTTAGGAGAAAAATATGAGTGTGATATATGTAAAATAAAGATTGTAAATAAAAAAAGATTAGCTGAACATATTCAGAAATTACATATGTCAGAAAAAAGAATAAAACAATCAAAAAAATTGCGCAAAAAACGAAAAGATGCTGGATTACCTAAAAAAAGTACGGCATCCAAATTAATTGGAATTAACTTATCACCAGAAATGGAAAAGATAATATTAGAAAGAAAAGAAGATATAATATATGAACAATTTAAAATGGTACCAAGTGATGATTTAGATTGTAATTAATTTTTTTAATAAAACAAAAAAAATTATTATTATATGTATTAAATTATTGATTTGTAGTACTTTTATAATTTAACACAGACTTTTTTAATATATCAATATATCAATAAATCTTAGATAAAGCTAGCTGCAATACTAGCAAAATATTGAAACATATCTTTTTCAAAGTTATAAAATCCTATATAGAAATCTGAAATCTCAATTTGAAAAACAAAATAATTTTTTAGTACTTTTCCTTTTGAATTCACAAAAATTAATTAGCATATTTTTTTCTTTATTACTAATTTTATTTTAAGAGAATAAAAATATTTTTATAAAGACTAAATTCTTCATAATTATAAAATTTTTTAAAAAATATTTTATATTTTTATTTATAACATAAATATTCTATTTAATACATGAGAATAAGTATATGTATTAAAACTTAGCAATAAGCTAAAATTAAATTTTAATTGTGAATCTATAAAAAAGCTGTAAGTGCCAAAAAGTCTTTCAATTTATAATTATAAAATAATATATATATAAATATATATATATATATATTTTAGTATTTTAATAAAGTTATTTGTTGAAGAAATATATTTAAACATACTTATATAATTGTAATTAATATAAATCTATTAATCTATTAATATTAAAATTATTTTTTAAATTTCATATTTTTGTTATTCATTCATTATTTTTGTTATTTATAATATTTCTTGTTTTATAATCTAATAAATTATATATTCATTTATAAAAAATTATTTATAATAATTTAAAAATTTGTTTCATAAAATAATTTTAATTCATATTCTTTCTAAATTTAAGTATAGTATTTGTAATTCATTTTATTTTGTGCCATTAATCATAATTTCAAATTTAATTTCTCATTCAATTTAAATATGATATAGTTCATATATAGTAAATTATTTTTATTTATTTTTTTTTTATTTAATTATATTAAATAAAAAATTATAATTGGCACAAACATAATAAAAAAATATATTTTATGTAAATATAAACGCAATTAAAGAAAACATTCCATTGTTAAGATTATAAAATTAAATTTTTATATATCAATTATTATATAAAATAGTTTAATGCGTATTCCAAGCAATGGATACTCATATTATCCGAATAAAACTAATATTCTTAGTAATAATATTTAAGATAATATTAAATAATTACTGATTTGGATATAAATTATATTCTTATTTAAAAAATATTCCTTAAATATTTTTTGTTTATTATGTTAAATTTCTGTTTATCTAGTTTTGTAAACAATTTTACATTTTGAAAGCTAAAATAACTCAGGTACTTATTCAGGTAACAAATATTACTTTACACATTTGTATTATATATCCGGATAGTATGAATATCTAAGTATGAACGAATACTCGTATTAGTCCGCTTATGCTATGAAAGCACGCATAGAAAATATAAAACATTGTGATACAAAAAATATTTTTAACTATTAATACTAGAAAAGAAATTAACAGAATATTAATTAATACAATTTTATGGAAATATTTTGATAATAATTACATTTAGTAGTAACTTTCATAATATTATATCTTATTTTTTTGTATATCTTTCCATTGACACATTTTACAAAACATATTTCGAGTAATTCTAACCTCTAAAACAATTTTAAATAATTATATTCAAATAATCGTATAAAAAATCGAATTGATAAATTATTAAGATTTTATAATTGCACAAATGATTAATAATTTAATATTTGATTTTTCTATAACAAATGAGCAAAAATACAAAAGAAGCAAGTTATAAATATCAACAATTAGGAAACTTGATGTTTTCTAATTGCCTCCTATGAATATTATATATCTAAAATAAAAAATTTAATTCATTTATAGTATTATTATATTAGCAATGTTTACTAAAAAATACGCGCTTGATTTTTAGTTAATCAATAAACTTATTATACTTTACGTTAATTTCAGTCTGATCGTTTTGACTTACTTGTTTACTGCAAAACGATCTTAACATGATTATCGATCTTGTTATCGCGATAATTGTCGATTGAACCATTTGAGTGCAGAACTATTTTATATGTATCTAAAGTTAAAATTTTAAATAGAAAAGAGAGTTTTAGGAATTAGGATTAAAGGATTTAAGATAGAAAGAAACGTTGCCTTTATTTTTTAACACTATTTAAAAAGTTTATTAATTGATACTGATCAAATAACAGTGAATCACGAACAATTTTGTCAATAAAAAGACAACTGCCGGACGTGCGATATTGCTTAATTGCATTCAACAATTGTTTTATATTGGTAGAAATATGAGAAGCATATCGTGCTTTTCGTATTTTTGTCCAAGTATCGAGGAAT